TTTTTTGTGTATTTTGTTATTTTTTATTACATATGAATATTGATGAAATAATTTTCTCCAGGATCTAGCTGCGTCCTACTCATATTCAATTATTTTATATATGTTTGCTGTTATTTCCGCATGAATCCCCTAGCTGAATTGTTTAATGAGCTGTACAACTTTGAACTCTGTTGTGCGCGCAAATCTCAGTGCGATTTCTTTGTAACAGGTCAACCTTTAATTGATGAAAAAAATAGAGAATAACCATTCCCATGTTTTAAAATTTCTTCCAGTCAATCATAACTTTCTTATGTGTTGCCTTTTTTCATTTCTTATTATTCTAAATGCATTGAGAGCTGTTCTGAAAAGTTGCATTATAGTCCAGTGATTGGGCAACCGCACCATCAGACAGCTTGTTTATGACTTCACCATCATCAAAAGTTGGGACGCCTGTGCCTTCCAACCAGCAGCCACCCTCTACTTATCAAAGTTCTACCACTTTCGGAAGCACTACATCGAGTAGTGATTGGACTGTAAATGCGAACAAATGTTTGCCATTATATGCTAGACCCCAGGTACTGCTGCTTTTTATTTCTACATTCAACTATCAGCGGGCAACTATGTTCTGACCTACTCTCTTACTTACTCTTCCAAACTCAAACATTACAGATGCGTACCCCCACCATGCAATCGCATAACCTGACGAACAGCGTCTCCTCATCCGTTGCATCGCGTCCTTACAGTTCTAGCTCAAATAATCAGCCTGAAAGTAACATGCTTTTCAATCAAGTCAGTCGAGGAGTTTTTTTTTTTGAAATTATCTTTATTAAACAATTCTCTAAACTTGAGCATTTTGTTTAGCTTGCTGCTCAACTGCTGATTCAACAACAGGGAGCTTCTACAAATCCATCGGTGCAATCTTATTATCCATCTCCGTCCTATACTGATCCTGCTATCATTGGAATGGGCCATTTGTCAACTTCTGCCACTGGTAATGGAACTTCTACGCCAACTTTACCCCCTGTTAAGCCTGCGTACTCAAATCCATATCAGGTATATGTTTCTCTTTGCTAACCTACCTACACATTGGAATGTCTACTATATTTGTTTTCCTCTGTTCTATGAAGTACAACTAGCTTCATTTTTGTCTTATGTTACCTTATCAAGCCTATATGAGTCGTTGAATCTCTAGCTTTTCTTCTCATGATTAGCCTATAAGTCTTTCTTCTATCCTAACTACAAATTGACTTTTTTGCAGGGTGCCAGCAATGAGTATGAGTCGCTGAACTCATTATTGAACAGCTCATTCGGTCATCATCAGAATGGAGACTTCAGTATGCCTCATGTGAGCATCATTTCACTGTTCGCTCTTAAATTTTCATTGTCTTCACACTAAGTTCCATTTATCTCCTATGATTACGAACATCATGTTGTTATAGCAATCTTCTACGTACCCGTCGTCACCGTCTGCTGCTCGCTCTTTGACTGCCTCTAGAATTCAGGCCAATGCGAGCGCATTTGCTCCACCGCCTGGATTTGGAGGAGTTGCAACCTCGCAGAGTGCGGGCATGGGTGGTGCCAATACGACGGTGCCTCCACCATCACTTAGGCCTTACTATAATACCCAGTTGCCACCTCCTGCTGGACTTCCACTCCAGCCATCTCAGCACGCCTCGTTTGCCACTTTCAATAGGTAAGGTAACTTTTGATCTTCATCTCATTAATCATCCTCTCCAAATCTTGAGTTTTGCAGCCAACACAGTAATTGGATGTCATCCACTCACGGGAAGCAGACTGGCAGTTTGCAGCAGCAAATGCCTTGGTGGAATTAGGCCACCTTGATTGTCATTTTGATTTCCTTAGAATTCAATTTTCCTTGTCTTCTTAGTCTTAACATAGTTACTCTACTCATTGTCAGCGTTGCCATCACACCAAATTTTCTTTCAACATGAAGTTACTCTACGTGAGTGTAATAGAAAACGTCTGACGCATAGTATGGTCTGTTCGGGTTTATTCTTGATATAGAGAACATCGAGACGTGTCATGACATCGCTCACGTCTTGTTTATGAGCTTGTTGAGTCGCGACATGTCTCGACGTTACCTTTGTTGTGATTTGCATGCACGCCGTTGAATTTTTTGCTATGGTCGTCTGAAGATAATCCTTCCATATCGCCTCTTAATATTTTTTACTTTGCTGTGCAGTTTCTTCATCATCTCTTATACTAGTGCACGCGATTGTTTTCGGTCGACTGTCATTCTTCTTACATGTCCTGGCGGCCTTTATGGTCGTCCATCTACTTGTGATTTCTTTCTGAGTACGTCGGTGTTGCTCCTCCAGTCGGTCTTGTTATGGTAAATGTATCTTCTATTCCTATTGCAAATTTTTATTGATTATCATGATTACATCTCACAGTATTGTATTAATTTTGCTACTTTACGACTTTGCGTTAAGCCACTTTTTCTCTATTTAATAAATTAGAGTTATTCTTACATTATGTGCTTTTCTATACTGGAAATTGCGGTGGCATACTTTTATCGCTTTTCTACTGAGATGAATGATTTTCACTTCTAGATGAGTTTTCCACAATTGTTCCGAGGCTTTCTAACTTCTGCTATGAAATCGCGATTCGCTGCAAGTTTGTTTAGCTTCATCTTGATCTTTTGAATATGCTTATAAAGAAACTTAGAGCTTCGTTTTGTAAGTTGGGGAAAATCTTTTTTAAAATGCGAGGTATTGCACTTTAATGTAAGTGTGGATTAAGCATGTTTATTTCATAGTATCCAACCTCCCTCATCATAGGCTCAAATATCAAAGCAAAGTTCATACACATTTAAGACACGTGCAGAAATGAATATAGAAACTTAGTGAGTAGTTCAAGATATCTGTTGCGCCGTAAAGAGAAAGTACATATCCATTTCAAATGTAATGGGAGTTGGGCGTCTATAATTTCTCAAGGGCAATATCAGTAAAGCTCTATCAGTGCAGAGGTTTAAGAATGTGAATTCTTTTTGATAGTTGATGATCCCCTTCATATAATTCTCATTTGGGATTGAAATAGATAACATGGCATTGTATATATTCTCTTACTCACGTTTAGGGATTCGATGTAATTTTGAGGTGATAATCAGCTAAACAATTTCCAAAGTACAAGTTTTTGAGAAAGTTTTTGTAAGATTGAAGGAGGTTTGAATGTAAATTTGTATGGATTTTAAACACAAAACAATGTTATAATGATGGCAAAACTGAGAGGAAATAATAAA